TACTACTACTACTGCTACTTCTGCTACTACTACTACTACTACGACGACGACGACGACGACGACGACGACTCTCGAAAAGCCCTTTGGTATTGCATGGCTGGTCCGAAGTCCACACGCTTTGCCCTCGGATCTTCATCTTGCGACCAAGCCATCCCACGTAGCCATCACATGATATTATAACATCTTGCCACTCGTGCACCCGTGCAGCTACAGCTTCGCTATGAAAGCGTCGCGGCGGAAGGAACAGGAACCTTTGACGTGCCACAGGTTGCTCGACCAGCGACCATCCACTCCGCACGAGGTTTTGTTTAAGTTAAGGGGTCCCTCTTGTGATATTCAGGTCTATGATAGAATCGCCTATTTACTGCAAGTCCCACATCTACTTCCGGCATGAGCTGCGGGAACGTCATGCTCCTGACGATTGCACGTTCGCGTGCCCTACGGCCGAAGTGCCCTGGCTGGGCCTTCAATTCTCCAACGAGCTCAGACGTTCTCTCCACCGATGCGGCCCACGCTGAACCAGAGGTTCGGGTTCTCATGGAACTCCAACGAGTAGACCTTCTTGGCGAAGTCGTAGCACTCCTGACAAGGCCGCGTCTTGGCGCTTCGAGCGTCGATCATATATAGGACTGACCAGAGCTTCTCGAGTGAAGGCATCAACAAGTGGACACCCGCCAAAGACTTTTGAAATCCAAAGCCGCTCCGAAACCCTTTCACAGTGTAAAGCACAACCGGATTAGCGGGGGTTTGTGCACAAAGGATGCGCGCTCTGAGGCAGCAGATTTGCACATGAACGATGTCCTCACCGGCTTGGAGGATTCGCGGGCCGGTCGGGGGCTTGAGCACTGAAAGCACCGTGCTCGGGCCGCATCAGGTTCGCGCACGCGCGCGGCAGCTTAGCACACCAAGGAATAGCACGTGGAGGTCAGGATGAGAGGAGATCTGACGAGCGGTCGAAGGGGTTCGGAAACCCGAAACCGCGGAAGGACAATTACAGTGGGGACATGATGACTGCGAAAACCCTAAACCGCACAGGTCAAGAAGACGAAACCCTATACCTGAAGGGGTGTCAGGAAGGTCAAGAACGTGAGAGGAGGGTCCCATGTCCAGACAGCCCCGACTTAAAGAGGGCGCGGTTGGCCCGGGTGACAACAACTAAACCCCAAAAATAGGTTTGCAGAAGACGACAACACGAAAGTAGAAGAGGAGGTCGAAACCCCAAAAACAGACTGCGATGCGAAGAAAACCTGCACCCTAGATGCAAAGGAGCGGCAGAAACCATAAAAGGAGATAGGAGATGATGATGTTGCAGGGGTGGTCTAATCGAACGGTGATGTTAGAATAGCAGGTGCTCGAATCGAGAATGATTGAACCGGCACCGTCGCGACTTGAACTGAACCCTTACTTACAGCGTCAACACTGTAAACTATAAACCCTTAGCCCTTCAAGCTCGAATGTCAAACCAGAGTCCTCGTGCGTCGGAGGTGGCGGCACCGCTCCATCCGCACGCTCTTTGATCCACCGAACCTTCCAAGGAACTCGGGCTGAAATTTGGCGCCGACCGAAAGGCCCGAAAGGCTAAATCCCTGTTTGCGTTTGGTCCTTGATGTCCACGTACTAGCAGCATCTTTTCATGTTCGAGTCTTCGGGGCGTAGGATTCACCTCATACTTAAACACCTGGATCCTGAACCTTCAAGTGCGTGCCAAGTCTCGGCATTGGGTAGTTTTCTCAAATAGGGTCCCTTTGGGGGTCCTTTTTATATGGGTGCCGTACTATATTGGGGGCCTAAAACAGGAACCTAACTTAGAAAACTACCCTCATGTTCGTGTCATCTGGGTGCCTCAGCCTGGTGGGTGATCCCATCTCGAGGCTTGGAGACTCTCTGACTATGACGGAGCCGGCTGTGGGAACCCACACCAGTGATCCTGATCTGAGCCCCACGAATGCCGCCATGAAGCCCTTCAGAAAGACATCAGGCTCTCGGAGAACATGAATATTTCCCCAAGAAAATATCGTCTTGAATCACGAAACCGCAAAGATCGCTGTACCAAAAGCAAGCCCGTTAGACGAAGCCGCCCGACAGTGCAGACTAGACTTATATAGCACAGCAGCCAGACGCGAACCTCGACGAGCGGCGTGCACAACTCATTGCTGTCTCAGTCCCCGCAAATGAAAACATGTTGTGGGCTGGATTGCCTAGTCTCGCCAAAGGTCGCATTCTGCTTGATGTTGCTCTTGATGGCTTTTAGATGCTGTGAACCGCTGCTTTTCAACTCTGTTAAGTGAATGACCTATCTCGGTTAACGTTAAACCCGACGAAGACGGGAGGATACCAAATTGAATGTATGATACCCCTTCCTAGGAAACAGCTTTTCAAGTACCCCCACAACCCTCAAAGCCCTCTCTCTCGCCCTCTCTCTGCGTTGTGAACCCTGAAACCTTGAAATATTTTCGCCCGAAGCCCTAAAGCCACAAACAATCCTAAACCCTCAAACTCGATCCTGCTTCACGAGGTTCTCCAGGACGGGGAACTCGCGCATGACTGCGCGTGTAGTCTGCGCCAAGCGGCTATTCCCATCTGCAAGCTCCGGTGAGATGAGAACTTATCATTTTCGGGCTTCGGCACTCACCCTCGGACACATTTCAGGGTTCAGGGGTCCAGGGCTTGGGGTTTCGGCTCTCACACGCGGACAAGGGGTTTGGGATTTAGGGTTTCAGCACTCTCTGTTGCATCCGGTTTGTAGCGACTCGACCAGGACAGAAACAAAGGGTGCACCCGAAGCCGACAGCTTTAAGCTAGAAACTGGGACAACCCGGGCGATGTTAGCGGTTAGCTGGTATGTCGAAGCACTTTGGGTTCGCACTGTCCTTGGAAGTAATAATTTGGAATAACAGGAATAACAGTCACCACTATCCGGCTGAGCATCACCACCATTGCTGTCACTGCTGCTGTTGCTGCCACTACTTCTTCTTCTGCTACTATACACTACGTCTACTGCTCATACTACTACTACTACTACTACTACTACTACTACTACTACTACTGCTATTGCTACTACTACTAC